TACTCTTAATAGTGTTTATGAAAAGTCATGAACCAGTGTACAGTTTTGTGAAATGTCATGTGTATGTGCCATCTTTTAAAAATACCTTTTAAAAAATATTTTCGTCCCCTGTTTGCTCCTTTAATGTATATGCAAAGTTTACTGGCCCTGTGTTGTCTGTCTTTTGGAACCTTATTTATTAGAACATTATTCATGGTTTGTTTCTTAATTTATTAATTTATGTCTTCTCATAACACAAAATATGAGAATCATTGTTGCTGATGAATTAGAAAGGATATGGAAGGTAGAAATTGTGACATATTTTAAGATACTAACCTCACATTTGCATGGGGAGACTAGGGAAGATCACAGAAATAAATGACTACAGTCAGGATAGCCATCCTTCAAGCTGAGAACTGAATGCTGGATCTCCAGAATATAAAATAGGAGCACTAACACCTAAGTCACAGTGTTTGATCATAATCATATTAAATAGTCTAGAATCATAGGCAAGTAATCTAAAATTAATGAAAATTCTTATATTCATATATTTTTGGAATTACTGTTACCCAGGTCTTTGCATTTACAGTGTTTATTTTTTCTAACAGAAGCTCTTTAAGTGTTCCTTAATAAATTATTTGATGCCAAGAACTGTCAATAACATGGTAATTTTAATTAGAGCATTAAAGAGACTTGTTACTTGGCTAGTTAATTCCATTATGAGCTGATCAGGCATATCAATTTTCAAGGTTGGAGACAAAACATGAATTTTTGTTGTGCCTATATAGAGTGTGTGAAAGTCTCTCAGTGATGAACTATTTTATCGTTAATTTAGAAAGAAAGATATTTTCTGTTGGTAACATTTTTGTAGCCATCTGTATGATGCCTCACAGTTTGTTTCAAGTTTTAAATTATAATTAGTAGATTTGACATTTGCATTATTTACTAAAATGTGGTTTCATTGTTCAATATTCAAATATCATACATATTAGGTGACCTACTTTGAAACTTGGAGTAGGCTGGGAGGGAATTTTCAAGAAAAATATAATTCTTGAAGCAATTCAAGATTAAGCAGGAAGTCACCGGTTCTAATATACTGTCACGTTATATAGCATGACTATAGATGGGGTTTGGATTGGTAATTGGATTTATTTGACATTTTAACACACAACTTATGACAATTTACAAATCACTGTCACACACAGACTAGTGTTTTCCATCACGGTCTTCACAGTTCTGCTTGGTAGCAACTTCCAGCAGTGTAGCATCCTTGGCTTCTGTGTCCAATGGCTCTTATCCTCTCTGGCTGGTACTTTTCAGCTGCAGCTCCCGAGCTGAACTATCTGGCCTCAAACGACCGAACTCACAACACACAGTTGACTCCTTATGTAGCCTTGGCATGGACTGCATAGAAAACACCTCTCTTCTGTTGTTGCATCATATAGATATCACACGGACCATGTAGAGAACACAGCTTACAAATCTGTTGCCTAGCAATGGGCATGTTTGCAGGACAGTTTCCTAGCAACAGCTGTCTCCCTTGGCTTCACAGTTCTTGCCTTGAGAAAATATGCCACATTGCTTCTTTCTTAAGGTTGCTTGTCCCGAGTAGCCTACAGGCTTGCTGCTATTTCCTTTTTTCCGAGGGGACGCTTGTGACACCTGTGATCTGCGTCGCCTTCCTTCCCCATTGCTTGATTCTTGTGACGATTACTTTTCCAGCTACTCCTGCTCCTCCCTTCTTAAAGCCACTTGTCCTGAGCAGTTCCCTGATAAGTTGTGAGCCAATCCAGGTGTACCACCATCATTGTAGATCTAGGGTTCTGCTGAATCCTGTACACCATATTGTTTATATTTGTGACTACCCTGTATGAGACCTCCCATGGGGATTGAAGTTTGATTGATTTTCCTTTTGTGTGGATTGGCTGATAGAGCCAAACTTTGTTGCCAGATCCACCTGCCAATAACCGCTCTTTAGGTCCAGAGTGGAAAAACATTTGTCTTCAGGCAGCATGCACAAAGTGTTATCAGCCTGGGACAGTGGGAAACAGTCTTTCTTTGTGATGTCATTCAGTTTCCTCTAGTCTGTGCATAGGTGGAAGTCCATGTCCTTGGCAGAGGCAAAGGATGACCAGGGGCTGTTTGACGCTTTGATAACCCCACATTGTTGTGTATCCTCTAACATCTTTTCCACATTCACTCGTTTTTCAAAAAGGGGGGGAACCTTGTCGAGGGTTGGTGAATCAATTAGGCCTCTACCATATATATATGTATATGGTTGTACACACTGTCAGTCCAACCATAGTCATCACTCTTAATAGCAAAGATGTCTCTGTACATGGTGAGGAGCTCTTCCAACTCGCAGGATGCAGCATCATTCAGCTTTGTCCTGGCTGTTGCAGTCACATTGTTTAACTTCAGGGTAGTGTTTTGGATCTGTGATTGTTCAACATAGGGTGTGGCCACTAGCATGACTGGCTCACAGTGTGTCAGGGGGGATCCTTTCATGAGCTTCTCGTGGCTGGTAGCATTCAGGAACCTCACAGGTACCTCCTGGTGGTCTCAGACCAGGGTGCTGAGTGTTCACAGAAATATTAATGCCTCCCATTAAAATGTCCCAGTTTGAAATTTTGTACTTCTAGCAAAGGATAATTTGGGTAAGGATTCTAAGAAGTGGCAGAATGTTCAGTTAATGCTTTGTTGCCAGTGTTTCTTAAAATGTAAGAAATGGAATGACTTCAAGGCTTATAAATACTGGTATTAAGTTAATAAGTAGATTATTAATTTTATGTGTACTACTTTGATTGGTTGCCTTATTACCTGAACATGCACTTTATAGACAAAGATATACCCTCCTAGCATTTAAATTGAAAACAGGTGAAGAAGTAAATGTCATATTGCAGAACACCATACCACATTTTCCATCCCACTTCTTACACCAAATTGTGGTGTGTTTAAGGCCGCAACCACTTTCTGACACCAAATTATGATGTGTTTAAGGCTGTAACCACTTTTACACCAAATTGTCATGTGTCTGGGGTTCTGTGACAAATAATTGTAGTTTCTTAGTTTTGATCGTTGTGTTTATTGGATTTTTTTTTTATTGCTAGTGGGGTGGGACTAAGTCCCTTGTACTGCGGTCACTTATGGCCTATTATACCAGCCCCAGATGAGAGGTGAGGGTGATTGTGGAGCAATTGGTGGAATGAAGATTGGCAGGGGAAACCAAAATACTCTGAGAAAACCTGCCCCAGCACCACTTTGTCCACCACAAATCCCATTTGAGCAGACCCAGGATCAAACCTGGGCCACTGCGGTGGGAAGCCAGCGACTAACCACTTGAGCTATGGCACAGCCCTTATTGAATGTTACTGACACATTTACACTCGGTTACAATAGCTCACACATTCAACTATTTCTGGATACCGAATCCCTCGCTGTTGTCTGTGTTTTGAACCTCTGGTCTTCTGTTCTGTGCCTTCAGTTCTCACTGTGAACTCTTGGTTTCAATTCTGAACTGCTCTCCCCTTATTCCTGCTGGGCGGATGGGATAGGAATCACCTCCTTGAAGAGTTCTGTTTGTCATACCTGTGGTAACAGTCTGTTTAGAATGTCGTTACCATGGACATGTCTCCAATAGCTCCATCAAAACCCAGGGTAACGGTGTATTTCGCATTACCATGGGAACAGGCCCCGCAAAGCTTCGCCCAGCAGATGTGCAGGTTGTGGCTTTCAGGCCGCTCGTCACAGTATGCGTTGTCACTTGATGTGATTGTCACCCAGACAATGGAGGAATGTGATTTTGAGCCGTTGTCTAGCAATGGACGCCCACTTTGACTCAGATATTCCTGCTTTTAGGTGGCACACCACAATATTTAGGTTTTAGAGGGTAAAATAATGGGGAAACAGTTCTATTGCATACATTTGAAACTCAAATTCACAAATCCTTACTAAACAAAACTGCACTGCAGCACAAAATTTGTGCTGGTCATAGAACAACTATTACACTGCACTGTTACTCAGTGAAATCACATGTATTCTTTACAGTGAACAGGTCAGTTGTGAGAAGGGCCACTAAATGTAACTCAGTTTGCATTGAAGGTCATTCTGCTGTACTTTTGGGATGTAAGTTGCAGGGGAGTTTTAGCTGCATTTTCCAGGAGCAAAACTGCACCATAAAATAGTGTAATTAGTGTGTAATGTGATAACAGGATTATTCACCATTCATTTAATTTCAGGCAGTTCAACAAATTTGTTTTAAAACTTTGCATATCAGTTATAGGATGCTGAATGTAAAAAATGAGAGGAGACAATAGCAGTAATCAAGTACACTTATTCCCCAAAACAATCTGAATATTTTCTTGATGACTTTATCGGTTCAGTTCATTGATTTCTCTGTGTATACCCTTAGAACTCTTTGTCACTTCTTGTTTCTGCCATATGTTGTTTTCATTTTATATTCCCTTACAGAATATTTTCCCTTTGACATCTCATTTACTGGGGTAATTTCAAGTTTGGAACTAAATTTATATGTAAATCCACACAAGATATATTCCAAAGGGTTCTGATGATGCTGGATGACACAGAATTACTGGGGTTTTGGATTTTTTCCATCGTCTGGAATTTTTATGTAATAGAGGACACAGCGTTTCGGAAACTGGATCCGTTTCCGTCTTCAGGTGAGAAAGGAAGACACCTAATCTCAATCACTGGACCAGTCAACCGTCCAGTGATTGAGATTAGCTCTTTCTAAGGGGCCCAACTGAGTAGGTATCTTCCTTTCTCACCTGAAGATGGAAACAGATCCAGTTTCCGAAATACCGTGTCCTCTATTACCTAAAAATTCCGGATGATATAAGAAGTCCAAAACCCCAGTCATTCCAAACAAGATGTTAGTCAGCTGAACTTAAGGCAACCCACTCCTGCTTATAGAATGAAAGTGTAATATTCATAATGTCTCTATAACTTAATAGTGAAGTTGACTTATCATTGGTGGGGTTATGGATTGATTGGTGTTACAGAGATGGCCGGAGTTCCCGCGAGGAAAAGTCCCAGCACAGTTCCCATCATGAGTCGGGATTGCACAGCGGGGGAGGGTCTGAGCACTACGGGTCCTCTGGAGCCTCTGCAATGCTTGGACCCAACCATGGGCAGTACGCGACTCTGAGCAAGCAGTGCAAGACCCTCGAGTCCTCTGACTTCTACTGAGAGAAGCCTACTAACTGGCACAATGATGATGCCCCCTGCCAGGTCACCAAGCTGTGATCAACCCATCATAGCTAGCAGGGATGCAGAGATTTCCCACACTGGCTGGGAGCCTGGACGTGCCCCCTTCATAGTCACTGACCATTGCCAGATGGCTTCAGCTGTGAAGGAAGGCCTTGGAACTCTCAGCAGGCATACTGAATCATCCAGTGCTAGCAGCCCATATCAAATCACAGAGTTGTGAGTTGCAGGGAGCTAGTAGTCAGAAGAAATGGGGGTTTTGCTATTGACCATTCAAAGAAGAGTTGTCTACTCATGGTGTGATGGAAGCCATAACAATCTGTGTTTATGATATAAGATAGTCATCAGGTCACTGTGTTATGTTTGTTAATGACACACTTGGGTAGCAGCAAACAGCACATTTTTCATGGTTCAAACACATAGTGCATCTGAATTGTAGGTGTATGTGTGTTGTGAAATAGACATCTACAATATGGTACTAGTAACTGTTCTGGCATTATGTATCCATCACTGTTTAATTTTTGTGACAATTTCGTACATGGTTCCTGAAGATGGAATGTATGTTGGGTCTGATGTGGAGGATATTTAATGTAAGAATGGTGGCAACACTGTTTCTTTCTTGTACAAATTCTTGCGCAGTTGTTCGTACTGTATACGAGTTTGTAATTTCAACCTAACTACAGTGATCCATTTGTCTGTTAAATTGGACAGGACATTTTAAGCTGAAGTTACAGAAATTCAAATCTATGAATTTGCCGGTGTATCAGTAATGCAGACTTAACACATTCACACATCATCATGTTAGCTGTAAGTGGAATTCTGATGGGAACAGATAATTTACAAAAAAAAAAAAAAAAAAAAAAAAAAAAAAAAAAAAAAAAAGCAGAAACTTGAACATAGTTGTTTTCTTTTCTTTGTTCTTGTTGTTTGTTGACTTTGCAGTGTGTGCCTGTAGTGTATATTTGTGTGTTTGTGTGATGGGTAGGGCTACAGCTCATTGCTTGGGAGTTCCACATGGTATGCAGTGTCCTCGTATTAAAAAAGCCACATACCAATTATAGTACATGCACAATTATGGCCCACATATCTTGATGAATTTCATGTAGTGACCAGTATGGGCCACTCAAACTGTGATACTTGCAAAAGATGTTCACATTAACAAAGATTCTTCTCTGACAAATATAAATCACTCCGTCCAATGTGACCTGTAAGTTTATTACTACATGAAAAACTTAACACCCTTACATGTTTCGGTCTCTGTGGACCATCTTCAGAGGGCAAACATCACTACAAATAGGAAACCACCTTCACATAAGTTGTTTAGACGTAAAGTACGTACACTTATATGTTACAATACATAGTACACAAAATAGAACATTTCACAAACACAGCAGTTTCCTGGGAATGTAAAGTTTTTAAAAATTATTTAAAATTTCTTGATGCTAATTAAAAACTTTGCATTGTCAATAATTAAAATTCATAAACCGTGCAGGCTAACATTTTTAATTAGCATCAAGAAATTTTAAATAATTTTTAAAAACTTTACATTCCCAAGAAACTGCTGTGTTTGTGAAATGTTCTATTTTGTGTACTATGTATTGTAACATATAAGTGTACGTACTTTACGTCTAAACAACTTATGTGAAGGTGGTTTCCTATTTGTAGTGATGTTTGCCCTCTGAAGATGGTCCACAGAGACTGAAACATGTAAGGGTGTTAAGTTTTTCATGTAGTAATAAACTTACAGGTCACATTGGACGGAGTGATTTATATTTGTGATTGTTAGTGTGACGGACCAGAGTGAAACAAATCAAATTCTTCTCTGAACTCTATAGAATTTTGCCCTTTACTTTTAGTGTCTGGGATGAGGGGTCTAAATGCTAGACTGGCAGCCGAATTTTAATACTCTTTATGTAGATAGAAGTGTTTAATATTGGACTCTGATTTCTGAACACTACTATGGAGATCTTGAAGCTACATCTGCAAGTGATCTGTAGTTCATTCAGCTTGTTATTCATATAGTGATTGTTTATCATGATGAAACTCATCTTGTACAGTAAATATTAAGTGGTGTAATTTTAACTTCTATATAAAAAAAATGGTAGCCAGTATACTGCATAACAATGAAGGACTCCCTTCTGTCTTTGGGTATTTGAGTGACAGTACTGTCACAGGTACAATGGCCTACTTGACTTTTTTTTTTTTTTGCTTTTCTCTGGCCTAACTACAAGAGTGAATGATTACAAAATCCAGCTGTACTGCATCTGGGATGCAATTAAGCTTATTTAATTGCATGAGTTGTCCTTTATTTAACTATACATTAAATATCAAAAGAATGTAGGAGTGTCTGTAAGGTCCCAGAATTTGAAAAAGATGGGAATCAGAGAGCATGATTTACATAATTTTGCCCTTACAGTTTTCAGTAGTAAATACTGAATATTAGTAATTGCAGATTACATACATTTAATTGATTTTTCTTCCCATGGCTACCCACAGTGGTGACATTATGTTTGTACTGCAGGGTTCTTTTTTATTACCATTTTATTTGGGTCTAATAGCCATGTGAGATGTCATTCTTTGTTATTTTCTCATGCTTTTGTTCAGTCCAACAGTACAGAGTTTGCTGTTAGTAAGGACATTATACATAGGACACTCATAGTCTAGACACACAACACAACAGGAAGAGATGCCCAACACCATAAAATACATGAATGCATAGGTGGGACTACGCAGTGAATATTATAATCACAGAATGGGAAGTAAAAGCAGTTTCTACCAACAATTTTTAAACACTTGATGTTTATCAGTGTTGGTCGAAACATGTAATGCAGTGTACAGAAGCTTTAAAAAAAGGTTTGAGAGACACTGTATGTATGTAGGAATCTTTTAAATAAGTCTTAGAAAGATGTGTTTCACATAAGACAGTGAACCAGTGACATTTGTGGAATAATGAGTGATGTGCAACAGGATGCTACAATATAATACCATGTTGGATGTTGAAGGTTTTGCAATATTTTGGCAAACATTGCAGTTGTCATCTGTAGGTTGAATGTCTTGCGGTGTGGGGCATTGGAAGCTCATATGTAGGTCTTGTAGTGGACAGTGAGTGAAAGATGAACACATGATTAGACAAAACAAAGCAGCAGGTTGCCTTTTATTGGATACCACCCAGCTCTTCTGGTTCTTGCAGTCACACCTTTACCTTCCTCTCCTCTCATCACCCACTGCTAGTTCTGCATAAGTGAATCTGCCCCTCCCCCTCCACACCACCACCACCACCAAGATATTAACTACAATGTTTGCCAAAATGGGAAACGTTCAAAAATTGTCACTGCTTGCTTCTGAAAGTTATACATTAATATATCTATATTTCGTTCATAATCCCACAGTGTTTAGAGTTGTGTAACCATTTGTATAAATGTTTGCCAAAATGGCAGACCTTGAAAAATTGTCACTGCTTGCTTCTGAAAGTTATACATTAACATATCTATATTTCGTTCATAATTCCACAGTGTTTAGAGTTGTGTAACCATTTGCATATCCTTCTCTTATTGTAAATTAAAAATAACGTAACATTACTCTCAGCTATATGAACTGTTTTGAGGTAAAACTGAAAATATTCTCTATTGACAAAGTATTTAAATGTGGAAGCTACTATCATAGCATACTATTAACAATAAAAATTATGCCTTGAATTGCAGTCAAAGTAACTGAAATGTGAAATATTGTTGTAGAAAGTTTAGGTTGGTACACTTTCCCAGACCTTGTCTTTACGCATTCATTTCACCCCCATGAAATCTAAGTGTTATTCCACTGAGAGCAGTTTGATTGTGATATGATTATTGTCATTTAGAACAATTGAAATTTTGTATTATGTTATTATTTCTGCATTTCATTTGTGACTGACCCCCAGAATTTGGCCGCTTTACTTGGATAGATCAAAATAAGTAAAATTATTAAATTATGTAAAATAAAGTATGCAGGATCCCAGTAATATAAATATTAATTAAATTAAATTAAGTTAATATTATTTTTGTGTTGCCAGCGGGCCTTTTATATCGCCATGTCTTATATGTGTCCCTAGGGACACTGGAAATATTTTGAAACTTGGAGTTGGGGGGGGGAGTAGCTCTGATGCTTAACATTTGATTATGCTTACATCAGAAAAATGCTTTTTATTTCCTCTCCCTCCTACTTTCAGTATTCCCTATAGTTTGATTTGCTGAAATTTGAAGTTGAGAAGTAATTTTTGTTTTAATTTATGTGGGATAAATATCTGAAAATATGCCTGACTCTTACAATGCAATAGTCCCAAAATGTGAATAATTTTAGTAATGTAGCATGTGTTAAATTAATATTTAACTCATTCAAGCACCATTAATTTTTTAAATACATTATGGTATTGAGCAACCGCCTCTGTGGTCTAGTGATCCAGAGGTCCAGGTTCGATTCCCAGCACAACCAGATTTTTTTCTGAGAAGTAGTGGGTCTGGAATGGGGTCCACTCAGCCTCATGATGATAATTGAGGAGCTATTTCAAGGAAGTAGCGGCTCCGGTCTAGAAAACCAAAATTAATGGCCGTGGGGATTCGTTGCGCTGACCACATGACACCCTCTATTCACAAAAGTTGACACTAACTTCACTGACCAGTGGCAGTCGCTTGGTCAGTATAGTTGGCTTGTGGACTGAAATCGTGGAATGTTGTATTGAGCATCAGTCAAAATTATTTTTGCCTACTAATTTTGATGCACTGTTTGTTCCTTCCCTTTTTCTTAGATGAGACAGCTGGTTGAGAGCTGTGTGAATGTGTGTCTGTAGGAGTAGATTGTTTAGCAGTACAGAACATGACATTTCTTTCATCTCTTCTTTAGGTTTTCATATATTAAAAAGGTACTTCCAGAGTGTTTTTACAGTGGTTTATTAATTTTGTATAATGACAGGAAAGAAGTTCTCCACATATTTCAATGTAACTTTATTTAACACAAATTAATTAATGTCCGTGAAGAAATTAGAGAAATACACATTGCTGTTTGCAGTTTTTCAGGCCTTTTACCAAATTCTGTGGAGCAGTGGTTAACATTTGTGCTTCTCAGAAGGTTCTGGTGTAGGTTAAGACTGAGAGACCAGTTGCTGTGAATCAAGTTTTCATGGTTTTTCCCCTCAGTCTTTCCAAAAAATTATAGAATATTGTCTGTGAACAGGTCATGACTTCTTCCTTTCACATTCTTTGCAGTTCAGCATTCATAATCATTCTGTCATTTAGTGTTGTGTCTATGTATTTGACAAAACTTCGCTATTTAATGAATAAATAGATTTTTTCCTTATGCTAAGAAGAAAAGCAAAGTAGCACAATTACATCTCTTTGTCAATCTCAGCATATAGTACAAGTTCTATTGTTGTTTTGTTAAAACATGTTTTCAATGACAGCTGTTTTGTTGTCTGAAATATTTGTATATCCTTTTTCATGGCCAATGTCCTTGCAGATATTTCTTCCACTGCATAATAGGCTGAAGGCTAGAATATCCTCATTTGTCACCCAAATAAATTATAAATTTTTACTTCTGTGCAATTACAAATATATAAACTCATTGGTAAAGCAGATGAGCCGTTGTATTGCAGTTGTATTTGTATTGTAATGTTGATCTTGAAACAGTATTAACCTCTCAGAAACTTAAAATCAGTTATCTGTTATTCTGCAGCAAGAAGTAGAAGGATATTTGCATAGTAACATTCTTATTCCTTTCCTTGTGTAGTTAAGTGCTGAATATCCCAGAATTCAACACTGAACTGTGCTCTCTGTGCATTAATTTTTATAATTAATTGTCAGTCACTATTCAACTGTGAGCATCTGTGCTCTCAAAACAG